TATTAGGACCTGTTTTCTTGTACATGTGTTTCCATCTGTTTTATTTTTTGGTGTGTGACTGGCTTGATATTATGTTTTGTTGGAATCATTGTGGCATATAATAAACATCCAAGACTTTTCTGATTCTCTGCATCATTTCCATCATTCTGTAAAACTGTATTTTCATATGTGCATGTAATGGTCATGTCTGAAAGATGCATATAATGTATTTTATATACCCTCAAGTGAGGAAGAGCAATTCAAACAGCAGATCATTGCAAAATATGACACCAACTTCAAACCATTCATGATGAAAAGATGGTTTATGCATATTTTTTTTACATGAGTGTAATCATTTTCATATAAAAATTCCATGGACCCTCAGTTAAAACATTTGATAGATTACAGACAAAAGTTTGTTGACTGAATTTGATTTTTCCATATAGACTTCAATATATGGGGAAGAATTTAATCCATTCTGTGAACCCAGAAGACAATTGAATATTCTATATGAAAAATAAAGACCATCAGCCATAACCATAATAAGTTGTTGCTGTATATGTTATGTGAGCCCAGAATATTTTCAAAGTGTTATATGGAAGTAGCACTGAAGAAAACAAAGATAAAAAGCTTCACATCCAGCAGAGAAACACACACATGAAGGAAACACATGTCAGGTGAAAATTAAAATTTGTATATGTTGCAAATAAAGATAAAATATACCTTTCTAGCAATTGAACAACTAGAAAAATCCAGCACAGTAAGCTAATAATACTGTCACAGAAAAGCCTACATGCATATTGTACCTGAAATTTTCCTGAAATGCTGTACAGCAGGATTACACATATTAGAATGCCAGAGGGGAAGAATTTCTAGATCAGTACATTGGTGGATTGTTTGCACTTGAGAGTGTGGCATAAATTTCAACCTTGAAATGAAATTTTGAATTTTTCAATTTGGGATTTGTCCCCAGAAAAAAAGTTTGCTAACACATTTGCCTCTCATTATCATGAGATACATTCAAAAAAGAGCAATTCAAAGATACATTATATACATTGTAAAAAATGACACAAACTTATAACCATATGCCTAATTTACTAGTTTTTCATATTATTTTGTATGTGCTGATGTGATATTTATTCCATGGAGAAACATTAGCACTATGTGAAAAAAAAACAAATGTCTACATTGCTGAGACAAATGAAGATTCCACTTGTTTTTTTTTATTGAACTGATTTCTCTCCAGCATCCATGTTAAATTTCTAACCTTAATCTAATGCTTGAAAATTTTATTGGACATTTTATAATAATGATGATGTATGCTCAAAACATGGAAGAGAATCAATAGCTGATGATAGTAACTCATCAAGCCTAATAGGATTAAGGCATAGAATATTCTGCTGTGGATGATATTATGATTTAAGCAAAATATAAACTGATATGAAGATGAATTTGATTTACATTCTGGGAGAAAAGTGCTGAGAAGGGGGTTATAAGACAAGGTCAACAAAAAATGTGGCAAGAAAGTCATTATTGGGAATCAGGGTAACCCTAAATCTCACCCCTTGTGGTTGGTTTTGGGATGGACTGATCAAGCAAGAGGAACCAGCCAACTTGAATATCCTTGGCAGAATTTCAAGGCATTCTAGAAAAAGCTTCCTGTGCTAGTGTTATTTTGGGGCTCTGGTGATTCATTTATACCCAAAGTTTCACCATGTTGCCAAATGGCAAATTTCTTTTCCTGATCAGCATCTGCTTTTCTATTGGTTAGTTTGGAATTATGTGGTTCAGTATTTTGTTAATTGATTTTGTCATCAATATCCCTCAATCAAAATTGTCTCATCCAATTTTTTTTATTATAATACATCAGTCATCCAAGCTTCAAAAGCATGTCAGAAAATGTGGATAAGTTTCTTTAATACAAACACAAAATGGCAAGAAAGGTGACTCAAATGATGATATATAAAATAATCTTTTAATTTTAGCAAGGAAAAAACTGAGTTCAACTTCAAAACCAAGGCAAAAGTACTGAAGTAGCAAAAAAGTAAAATTTTCTTTTATTTCCCCATAAGTTTGTGAATGTCAGGAAGTTTATAGCTCAACATTTTAAAGTTTTCGTCAATTTTTATCCCCATGAATTTTACATTTGCAATTTAATACCAACAACTTGAACAAATGAGCAAGTTTTCTCAGGTTGATGAAGAACTTTCTGAGTGTCTGTTTCAGTTTTGCAGTTTTTCTCTCTTCCCCTAATGATTTGTATACTTTGAGTTAAAATTTATTATAACTAAGTTGAAGAAATACACAGATTTCCAAGTTCAAACAAGAATCTTTTCAACTACACTAATTAACTTAAAACAAGTAGTCTCAAAATTTTCAGAATCAAACTGATCCTGAGAGAGATTCTTTTTCATATGATGAGCCACTGCATCACATCCTTCTGGGTCTTGACAAATAATTGAAAAACTGTTTGCTTTGCTTGGGTGTCCAGCATCCAGTGCAAGGAAGCCATCCATCTTGGAGGAAAGTGAAGAAGAGTTTGTGATAGTCACAGAGTCCTCTGTGGAAGAAGAAACTCTCAAACCACCACTTGCAAGAAGCATTGATGGGGATGCATCAGCAGCAGTAGCAGTAGCAGCAGCAGCAGCAAACCCCATCTTGGAAAGGGCCCCCAGGGCAGGAGGCTGTGATGGTGCTGCCTTGCCCATCTGCACCCCTGGAGATGCCCTGCCAATCTGCACCCCAGGGGCCAGAAACACCACTGTAGCCCCCACCAATGGCACCACAGCACTTCCCAGGGCCTTCCTCAGGAGGTTGATTCAAGCAGGGTATCGCGTGGTGCCACCTGCCAAGTATGGTGGACCACCAGACCAAGCCATGGGTGAACTATATATACCAATTGACAAACATCCTCAACAC